AACCAAACACAAGGAAAATGAGAAATGTCAAATCAACAAAAGTTATCCCTTTTTTTTATGCGAACCAAACACAAGAAAAATAAATACATTGTTTTCCCACCATTTTTTATGTGCGAACCAAACCAAAACAATCTATTTCCTCAAAAAGTTTGGAAAACTCAAAACTTATATTTCTTTATATGGAAATGTATTTCCCTATATCTAGGAAACGAACCAAACAGCCCCTTAGTCTCTATTGACGAAGTCATGAACAGAGATTTGTTAGCAAATCTAGTCAGTTATGAGATTTTCTTGGAACCCACTAATATTAAAAAAAATCTTTTTTTATTCTCTTGAGAACGGCCACGTTCAGTTGCGCAGATATTGAGGGGAACAGTTATTTCAAATGGCCTATATAATCCCTACTCCCAGTCATTCTAAAAGAGAAAAAAAAGAAAAAAAATAACAATTCCTCTTCTATTCTCTATTCTCCTTTCTCTCTTTCTCTCTACATGTTCTCAATTTTTTCAGCAGGCTTTCATTCTCAGAAGTTTATTTTAAAACACTTTGGTTCCGAGCATTGTTTAAGGGTGTTGGATTGTCGGCCTCCTTCAGTGCAGTTGAGGTCTGAGACAGAGGAGATTCTGGGCTGTTTTATCCTGGGGACAACGGGGCTATGATACTGCTTGCACTCTTGGGTAGAGTCGCGAAACGTCTTAAAGAGAGCGACCTAGTCCGCAACTCAACCCAAGCAAAATTATTTTGGTAACATTGTTCTTCATTTTATTTTCACAGGAACATTAACAATTTTAAGACGTCATGGTTATTCTGCCTAGTTCCTTTTATCGCCATCTACACAATGTCTTCTCCTGTTGATGCTTTAGTACTTACTGCTGCTAATGATTTGAACAAACCCTTTCGTTTTGAGGGAGCCCATTTTAAAAGATGGAGACAGAAAATGTTATTTTTCTTAACCACAAAGAAACTGGCTGATGTATGCCAAGATGACAAGCCTGAGTTGCCTGTTGAACCTTCAGATGAACAAAAGAAAACTTTGGAAACTTGGAAAGAAAATGTTTTTTTGTGCAAAAATTACATACTTAATGGGTTGTCTGATGATTTGTATGACTACTATAGCTCTGAGAAAACTGCTAAAGGGGTATGGGATGCATTGCAAAAGAAGTATGATACTTAAGAAGCTGGAGCCAAGAAGTATGCTGTCAGTCGCTACCTAAAGTTCCAGATGACGGATGACAAGTCAGTGGAAGCATAGTCACATGAGCTACAAAATATTGCGCATGAGATCATCTCTGAAGGTATGACCATTGATGAACAATTTCAAGTTGTTGTAATGATAGACAAACTGCCCCCTAGCTGGAAAGATTTTAAGAATTCTCTTAGGCATAAAACTAAAGAGTTTTCTCTAGAAAGTTTGATTACTCGCCTTCGTATAGAGGAAGAATCCCGTAAACAAGACCAAAAAGAAGAGATACTCGTTGTCTCTAAACCCGCCTCTGTTGTTCTGAAAACTAAACCTAAGAACATGAAAAGACAGAACCGGAATAATAACCAGACCCGCAACAAGAATAACCAGAATAGAACTGCCCCTCATAATGGGCAACAACCCTCCTTAAGAAATGATTCGGGATAGTTTGTCTGCTACAACTGTAACAAGCCAGGCCATTTGGCTAGGAATTGCCGGAACAGGCGACGTCCTGCTCCGCAGGCTAACCTGACCGAAGACCAACTAGTTGCAATGATTTCTGAAATCAATGTAGTTGGTGGATTCGAGGGGTGATGGGTAGACACTGGTGCTTCTCGCCATGTTTGCTATGAGTGTTCTCTTTTTAAGACCTATTCTGAGTCAGAGGACAAGAAAGTGTTGCTGGGTGATTCCCACACCACCGTAGTTGCGGGAACTAGTGAGGTGGAGTTGAAGTTTACCTCTGGAAAGACTGTGGTTCTCAAGAATGTTTTGCATACTCCAGAGATGAGAAAGAATTTGGTTTCGGGGTATCTTCTCAACAAGGCGGGGTTTACTCAAACTATTGGGGCTGATTTGTATACCATTACAAAGAACAATGTATTTGTTGGGAAGGGGTATGCAACTGATGGGATGTTTAAATTAAATGTTGACATTAATAAAGATGCATCTTCTTCTGCTTACATGCTGTCTTCTTTTAATATTTGGCATGCTAGACTTTGTCATGTTAATAAACGTATTATTAGAAACATGAGTAAGTTAGGTCTTATTCCTGAATTATCTCTTTCTGATTTTGAGAAATGCATTTATTGTAGTCAAGCAAAAATTACTGAGACCCCTCACAAATCTGTTCAAAGAATTTCTGAACCTCTTGATTTAATTCATTCCGATATTTGTGAGTTTGACGGTGTTTTAACTAGAAATGGAAAATGATATTTTATAACTTTCATTGATGATTGTTCAGACTATACTTTTGTATATCTTTTGAAAAATAAAAGTGATGCTTTTGAAATGTTCAAAGTGTTTTTTAATGAAGTTGAAAATCAATTTGGTAGAAAGATCAAACGTTTTCAAAGTGACAGAGGAACTGAATACGATTCTTCAACTTTCATCGAATTTTATAAAGAACATGGGATTATTCATGAAAAAACAGCACCTTATTCCCCAAAAATGAATGGCAAGGCTGGAAGAAAAAATCGAACTTTTTCTGAATTAATTGTTGCTGTTTTACTTAACTCTGGTGCTACAAATCATTGGTGGGGTAAAATTTTGTTGGTTGTGTGTCATGTTTTAAACAGAGTTCCAAAATCAAATAACAATATTTCTCCCTATGAAATTTTGAAAAATAGAAAGCCAAATTTATCATATTTTAAAACTTGGGGCTGCTTGGCTTTTGTTTGGATTCCAAATCCAAAAAGGAAAAAACTTGCTAGTAGAGCATATGAATGTGTCTTTGTTGGTTATGCTCAATATAGTAAAGCATATAAATTTTATGATTTGCATGACCATGTTATTATTGAATCAAATGATGCTGATTTCTATAAACATAAATTTCCTTTTATATTGAAGAATAGTGGGGGCTCATCTTCTAGTACCATGCCTGTAATTAGTAATGATGAGCATGTTGATGACTTAGAAACAAAACCTAGGAGGAGTAAACGAGCTAGGACCACTAGAGACTTTGGACCGGACTTTAGTGTGTTTGCCTTAGAGGAGGATGCCAAGACCCTCCAAGAAGCACTGTCTTCTTTAGATGACAACTTATGGCAAGAGGCTATTGAGGACGAAATGGACTCACTAGTGTCAAATTGTACCTGGCACTTAGTAGACATACTTCCTGGTTGTAAAACCATAGGTTGCAAATGGATCCTTAAAAAGAAACTGAGACCCGACGGTACCGTTGATAAGTTTAAGGCCCGCCTTGTGGCCAAAGGGTTTAGGCAAAGAGAAAATGTGGATTTCTTTGACACTTTTTCACTTGTCTCTAGAATCACATCTATACGGGTTTTATTTTCCCTTGCTGCTATTCATGATCTTGTTGTGCACCAAATGGATGTTAAAACTGCTTTTTTGAATGGTGAATTAGAGGAAGAGATTTATATGGACCAACCTGAAGGTTTTGTTGTTTATCGTCAAGAAAACAAAGTTTGCAAACTTGATAAATCTCTTTATGGTTTGAAACAACACCTAAACAATGTGTTGACATATTAAAATAGTTAAGGGGTTATTTGTAAGATGTATTTGTAGGGGGCCTATATAAGCCCATGTTATTTCATTAATAATATTAGGGTTTCTTCATATATTTCAACTTGGTATCAGAGCCACCAAAACCCTAGCCGCGGCCCCGCCTCCCCCCTCACGGCCACCCCCCCACCGTGGCACCCCCCTCCCTTACCCGGTAGCCCCCCTCCCCATGCGGTAGCCCCCCCCACACACACACATCAGCCCCACTTACCCACGGCAGCCCCACCCCCCCCACTTGTCAGCAACAGGCCCCCCCTCTTTCGACAACACCAGCCCCCCGCCCCCCTTTGTTCGATTCTAAGACCTCAACCCTCGCCCACCTTTTTTTCGCACCCGATCAGGCCCCCCCTGTTCAATCTGACCCTCAGCCCCCCCACCCCCCTTGTTCGAATTCGACATCAGCCCCCCTCCCAACCTCTTGACTCGCCTCTTGCTGCGTTCATGCCGGACTAGAGTTGCGCATGGCGTTCCCTCGACTTCGAGTCCTCGAACTGATGACAAGAGAGGCAGTATATAATCTCACATCGATGAGATATTAATAGTTGTTTTGGTTGCTTGTTTTCTCTGAGAAATTGAAGAAATTTGTTTGCGATCCTACCATGTGATGCCGAGCAGCCAGGTGCTCACCCAAAATTTTCACTGCACGACAATAAGGATACGGAAGAGTTACCGACTGGTGACATGTGTTGGCGTCTGAAGCAGCTGTTCGCGATGGAGGAGATCATCAAAAAGGTTGAACCCTGGCGGAACGAGTCGTCAACTTTGATGTCAAGCTACACTGAAGTTGTCGGCTGGTTCGAGAGCCGCCCCGACAAAACCATCGGAAGAAGTTGGAGGCTTCCGACCATCGCATCTGAAGCTGGATGGACCTGAGTACTGTACCTGAGCTGGTCACGGCGGACGTGAGCACTATCCTTGCAGGGAGGA